GAGCTTCTTCAGCCTAGATCCTCAGCAACAACGATGCTCCTCCCTACATCCGGTGCGCAAGCAGGATCCAAGACGAACTACGGGTACCTGCGCAAGAACCTCCGTCTTGTAATCGAGGAGGTCAGCGAGAAGGACCCAAACGATATTTCCTACGTGTACAGTGGCTTTGCACCCCTCAGCGTCCGCCTGGTTCAATGCGTGTTACAAAAGTCCTATATGGTCTCGCTGATCAAGGGAGGTGCGCCGGCCGCCTCGCTGAATACCGCTAGTACCACGTCGCCTGGCTGGCTTGGCTTCGAGGACGTTGTCAAGAGTGCTCGCGGTGCAACTTTCAGCATTGTCCAGAAGGGCGATGATAAGGCCGTGCGGGCTCGTCAAACGCTGAGCGGTAACACTGCTACAAAGGCCGTGTATGTCTTTTTCTTGGGGGGGTATCACCTTCACGGAGATCGCCGCATTGCGCTTCATTGCTGCGCAAGAGGCTCCACGGAGGAAGATTATTATCTGTACCACAAGTATCATTAGTGGTGATCGGATGATGGAGGCGGCTATCGAGAAGGGTAGCTTTGCCAAGGCGGAGTAAATGGGTTAATCTACGCCTCAATGATCATAATGATACATAGCTACATATGTATGTCATGTTAGGAAGAAAGGGAACAGCACGCTCTAGTCTTCTTTCTAATGTAAAGACCATGGCGTGTCGATGGTTGTTTGATTTGTTCAGCGTTGGACTTTTTAAAGAGGTTCACATATTTCCACCATCTGCTTTGATTCTAGATCTCAACCTAAGAAACCGATAGATATATCCCAAATATTGATTTAATAGTTAAATCCAGAATGAACCCCCATCAACCGACCCTGATACCGCTCTATCACCTCCCCGAGCCGCACCATAACACCAGCAGAAAGGGTACGTATCTGCTCCTGCGGGTCAGTAACCGCTGAGCTGGGATCAGCCCGCGCAGCCGAAGGCGGCGTCCGGTCGAAGACCTGGGAAGCCCATTCGCGCAATTCGATCACCTGCGTGGCATACTCGGTGACAAGACGCTGCTCGCCATTTGAGCCAGACGCAATGTTGAGATCCACTATAGCGAGGAAGAGGGATAGGAGTGCGGCAGTGACGGTTGGCTCACTGGATGTTGAGGCTGTGTGTAGCGGTAAGAGGAGAGAGAGGGTTTCGTGGGTGAGGGCTGGGAGGAAGGGGGTGTGGGGGCCTGTTGTGGAGAGAATGAGGGAGAGGGTTTGAAGGAAGAGGGTTAGGAGATGGGGGATGAAGAATGGGTTGTATGAGGACGTGGAGGACCTAGGGCGTGTTAGTTTAAAGATTCGAAATGAGATAGAGAAACATAAAACATACGAGAACTGTAGCATCGTACTTTCAAATCTGCCCTGCAGTGGGAAGAAGAAACCCTCGGCAAGCACCTTGTGCAGATCTTTAATTGTGGAGTTTTGGCGCTTGGTGTCACGCTGCTGGCGTTTTTTCTCGACGTCCATACGTGATGAGAAGGTGCGCACTTTGAGAGCGTTGGGACCAGTCATTGTATCTGCTGCGTTGGCTGCGAGCGGTTCCAAGGATGTGCGGGACATTTCCCGAGTGAGCGTCGCGATGGGAGACTCATTTGTTCCCGAGTACATGGCCTCTAGGGCAGGCGAGAGTCGTTTGGATGGGAATGAGGTATCGCCAGTAGTTGGGAGACGCAGTGCTTTTGCATCGTCTTCTCCATTCCCGGCTAACTCGCGAGCACTCAGACCCAGGGCCGTTAGAACAGCGGATCTCTGGACTTGAGAGATGTCTCCATCGAAGTAGATAGCAGTAAACCAGCGGCCCATCTTGAAGGGCTCGGACACAATCAATGCAATCATGCTTTGTAAACGAGATTCATGGAATGACGGATGATTGTTGTCATTTTGAAGACCCACGATGGTGAGAGCTAGCTCTTCGACCTGCTCGGCAAGTTCAGTTCCGAATCCTATCTTCCGACGAATTAAGGACGGAGCAGTGGTGATGGCGAGATGATAGCGCTCGACATTCTCAGTGTCTCGAAGAGATGGGATCAAATCACGGATGTATCTTACATTTGTTAGCGATATCGATATTAGCAGGCAATCAATACTTACACAGGCGGTGTCGGTTTATTACGTTGGATCAACGTAGGATCATCATCAGAATCGTATGCATCGTCGTCCGGCTTTTCATACGGAATGAGATCGTCATCTTCCTCTTCCTCTTCATCTTCGTCACTATCCTCGACTTCCTCAATAGCAACGATTTTGCTTGTATGGTGCCGGGAAGATTGTGCTTTCGGCTTTTGTGCAGGCTTGGAGCGGACCAGTTCTGGGTTTGCTGGCAATGCCTCTTGCAATGCTTTGATGGATTCAGGCGAACCGACCTCATCCTGGACCTTGGTCAATCTCAAATACCAAACAGCTTCCTCGCTTCGCATCTCCTCTAGGTCAAATTTCAGCACTTTATCTGGCTCCTCAATGAGTTCAGATATTCCTGTTCCAACGATCATGCCAAGAAGTCGTGCTCTGTTAGAAGACGCAGCCAGTCGATTGGATACTGCATTGAGATATGCTGCAGACCGGCCTACTTCTTTCACTTGCGCTTGATCTAGCCGATAGAGGTGGCCAGCGGCAAGAAGAATCACTTGTGCAGTTGCTATTCAATGTCAGAGGTTAATATTTTGGGAACAGCGGACTGTGGATTATTGACAAACCATTCTGAATTACATTTGGGACATGTTTGACCGAAAACTTGTCTCCAAATTGCTCAAGGCTGCGTATGAACAGTGACTTCAACAGATCTGTTGCGTGTCCTTAGTTTCATTGTCTTCAATTGTAGTTTTTCCTCCGGGAACGCAAACTTACCACCGCGGTTACTGCAAGTGGCTAATAATGCACGCCGTAGTCCCAACGTGTTTATCGAGCCGCCTTGCGATTTTGAGAGCCATTCCACAAGCTGGCTTTCCAGGTCTGGTCGAGAAGAGATGATGGTGGAAATCAAAGCTGCCACTCCTCTAATGGACTCTGAAGGGGCGATTGACTGGCCTATTGTCCCCGATAGATCATCTGAAAAGTGCTTTCGTTGTATATCACGGAAGATGGCTTCTACAAATGCAAGCTGCTCCGTCCGTCTAAGGTGGTCCAATAAGATTCCGAATTGGGCCGGTGAGGACTGCCGAATAAGTAGATCCGAGTAGATTTCTTTGACAACCTGATCTGTGCGATGTTAGTCTGGAGTTTGAACAGAGCTAGATGTGTATATTTACCTGTATATCCAAGGCTTAAAGCTCGCCCTGTCAACAAAGCAACTGAGGCCCAGTCGCTTTCGTTACCTGTGGCTAGTCTCGCCGCCATATGAGAGATATTGCGCCCAAGCCATGATGCATATTTAGAACCATTTCCAACCCAGGAGATTGAAGATACTGATTTTGACTCATCAACAACAGTAAGAGCCTCGGCTGCAGTGGATAGAATCTTGCCGGCAGCAACGAGCGACACAAGCTCTCTCCACGTGATTTGCTGTCGGGTTTTGTTGTCATAGATGACCGAGATGTCAGAAGAAAGACGAAACAAAAAGTCTTTTGGCTCTAGCAAAGCAGCAAGCACTGCCAAAAGATCCCGGATACCGAGTTGACTGCTTGAACCTTGAACTTGCTGGGCAGAAGCGCGGGCCGCATTGATTAGAGACCGTAGCTGAGCCACTAAGGAACCGAGACCAGCAACGCTGCTAAGGCATCTCAATAATGCTGCTCGAGCTTTGGCATCTTTTCCTTTGCTGTCTTTTGCATCTAGCGATCCCCAATGATTTGGAATCGTGGTGCCGACTAAGAGTTGGAGAATCTGGGCTGTGATGGGACTTGCAATCCGGAGATCGAAATCCCTTGTAGTCTTAGATTTGGTGAAGGGATCAAGGGCTGCCAAAATGGCAGACAGCTGTTCACGATCGGGATTGGTTTTGAGTAGATCTATCATGTGACGTGATGATAGATGTTCAGAATCGAAGTCATTTTTTGCTGGCGAATCAGCATGCAGAGACTCGACAGCAGGTGTAACAAGGGCATCTGAATCTCGCTTGACAGTTTTCACTGCTGTCAGCAGGCCCTCCATTTTTGATCTGAATCTCACTTCGGGGGGAAACCAGAGGTTGTGCCTGAGATGAAGATCACAGTACCGCAGGCCTTAGATTAGTCAGCCACAGCCACAGCCCTGGAGCCCTGGAGGCGTGACCCCTCTGACTTGGCACACAACCTTGTAACTTCCCCCAACTGGACTCCGTTTCGTAGTCAGTGTTTCTGATGATAAACTTAAGTACCGGTTGGCAGATGGAGAGTGTCAAACAGCCCAGGCTTCCTTCAAGGCAGCTCTATCTTTTTCTTTGCATAGCTTCAAGGTCGTCGGCCCTGCTGGAGTTTATCCGAACTCTGTTCTCGAATTTCAAAGTCTATAGGACTTCAATATACAGCACCCCTGACTTCCTTGCCAAATTCCCTTGGGCAAAGTTCCAGCATTTGAAGTTCAGACGGTACTTTGATTTTTGAATCTGACGCAATTGCACAGTATGTGGCTGAGAGTGGCCCTTCCAGTGACAAGCTCCTAGGGAAAGATGGTCTTGAGAACTCCAAACAAAACCTGGAAGCCTATCCAGTCTCGCGTGGTCGAATGCTCATCAAGAAGACTGAAGAGTCCACCGAATCCCAAGAAATGGAAAATGCGATAGTGGCCGGTGACGGTGATTAGAACCCCGGCCATCAACCCAAATGGTGCATCAAACCCAGTACTTTGTTTCTCCTCGATCTTCATCGCATCACGATCAGTAAGACCAATCTCTTCCGGCTGTCGGACCGCTTATTCCGTATTTAGTCAATATTGAATAGTTCCCCCGGAGTTCGGACTTCGGCATCTGTTCGGTACAGGTTTCTTTGTTCGGCCCAAGGTTCACCTTTTCAACCTCTTCCTCTCTTCCATTCAGCTAACTCCCCGTCCGAGTACCCACAATGCTTATTCCCACAGGATCACCATCTCTGAATTTCAGATTGAACAAGGCCGGAAACAAAATGGCTTCGGGGCTTTTCTTCGACCCGCTCAAGCTCCTCCGCGTTGCCCCGCTTCTCACCACCACATCGGCGCTACTCTATGCTTGGGGTGAGCACTGGTATCTCTCAGGCTTCCTGCGCTCACAGCACAAGTCCGAAACCGAGACGATCCTCCCGAGTTACTTCCGTCGCTTCTTCGAGCAGGGTATATTTGGTATCTTTATCGTTGCCGGTCTCAACATCCTCACGCTCTCCAGTTCGGTCGCCAATCTGTTGATTGATCGTCCGGTACTGGACCGTCTACAATCTTCGCGATGGTACTGGGTTGGCCTGGTCTTCATTATTTTTCGCCTTTTGTCTGTACCTCTTATCACGTATCCAATTCGCGATATTATAGAGAATCGATCTCAGGGAGAAAGCACTAAGGATTTACAGCATCGGATCGATATGCATCGTATTCGTGTTTTTTGTTATTGGTTTGCTGGCATGGATGAGTTTCCTGGCCGCCGTGCTTTCCATAATTCACCTATGAGCTGATCATCCGCGGAATGGTGTCTAATTGAAATTGCAATACATTCTTTCCTTTCGTTTTAGCGTTGGTGATCTTAGTTCGCATGGTCAAGAATTGGCGTACAAACCCTCCGAATATAAATATAAGCTGGCACCCCCGAAAAGCCTACGTGTGTGTCCAGCTACCTACGCACTATCGCAACGGCTAATTCATTGCTTGTATCGGCTCGAGAATTACCACAGGTGTCTATGTAGTAAGGCACTTTACTAACTATCAAATAAACGATAACTGGTTTAATGAGCCATTCGGAGTTTCACAGTACAAGTTGCTTATACTTAACTAGCCCTGGAGACTGGAAGGGGCGCCTTATGTGCCCAGTCGCGGCGGCACCCAATTGCCCCCACTAAACTGCGTAGTATGGGGGATTACGATTTGCTGGGTCGTGGGTACCACGACTGCGGTTGATGAATCCTATTAATCGGATTGAAAGCCATTAAAAACTATGTAGGGAGTACTATACTAAAGGTTAGATCATTATGCCAAAATGGTCCACCACGTTCTTTGGACCTGGTTCATCACGTGATTGGATTGAGCATACTCTGTGAGCCTGAGGCAGCTAAGATAGTAAAAAGCCCCACCTGACCTCTGAAGGAAGTCAAATACGCCAAACTATTTACTTTCTCCAGTTGCCCATGACAGCATCCTATCAACATGGACATGGATTCTAAAACCCCAGATGCCCCAGAATCTCCGATTTACGTGGACCAGCAAGGTCGATGGTGCGTTGGACGACTCTCAAGACCTCAATCTGCTCTAATACCTCACAGGAAGCACATCTACAACGTCCTAAGTAAGCGTGGTCCTTTTACAGATGAGGACTGGAACCCTGGCCCCGAGCCTATCAGTTCCCTGGAATCTTCCAAAATCTTGTAAGTTGGTTCACTTCGGAGATATCACTTTTGCTAACATGAGTTCTAGGGTGATGTTTGTCAACCTTGCAATGTTCTATTATTCTATCAAGATGAAGGACTGACTTAAATCTAGTGGGGCTGGTGGACTAGGATGCGAGATCTTGAAGAATCTCGCACTGTCGGGATTCAAAGATATTCATGTCATCGACATGGGTATGTGTTTCAACTCAGAATGCCAAGACCAGAAGCTCACAATTGACAGACACCATTGACATATCAAATCTCAATCGGCAGTTCCTGTTCCGCCAGGCAGATATCGGAAAGCCTAAAGCCGAAGTCGCTGCTGCTTTTGTGCAAAAGCGAGTGAAGGGAGTGAATATCACACCCTACGTCGGCAAGATCCAGGACAAAGATGAAGACTACTACATGCAATTTAATATTGTCATCTGTGGCTTGGACAGCATCGAAGCTCGACGCTGGATCAATTCCACGTTAATCTCGATGGTCGATGAAGATGACCCTTCGAGCCTGAAGCCACTTGTTGATGGTGGTACCGAAGGTACCTACCTGCATCGTGAAACTCGTCAAGAACATGTTGCTGATATGTCAAACAGGTTTCAAGGGCCAAGCCCGCGTCATTCTACCTTCTATTTCATCCTGCATCGAGTGCCAACTGGATATGCACGCCCCTCGTGCAGCAGTTCCTCTGTGCACAATTGCCACCATCCCGCGCCAGCCTCAACACTGCATCGAATGGGCGCACCAAATTGCATGGCAAGAGAAGCGCAAAGATGAAACCTTTGACGGCGACGACTTGGAACACATATCGTGGATATACAATGCCGCTTACGAACGTGCCCAGCAGTTCCATATACATGGCGTTACCTTCCAGATGACCCAGGGTGTGGTCAAAAATATCATTCCGGCTATCGCATCGACAAACGCCGTCATTGCGGCCTCCACAACTTCAGAAGTGCTCAAGATCGCCACTGGCTGCAATCCATTCCTAACCAACTACATGATGTATGCTGGCGAGGAAGGGGTGTATACCTACACTTTCGAGGCGGAGAAGAAGCCCGACTGCCCCGTGTGCGGAGAACTTGCCCGGAAGTTGGACGTGGATCCCAATATGACACTGGGCGAGTTCATCACCAGCCTCGGGGAAAGGGCAGAGGCTCAATTGAGGAAGCCTAGTATGCGGACTGAAGAGAAGACCCTCTACCAACGCTTCCCACCTCAGCTGGAGGAAATGACCCGGCCTCACTTGGCAAAAAAGCTGGCAGATTTGGTCGAGGATGGTGAGGAAGTCGCTGTCAGCGACCCAGCCTACACCACCACATTCCGCTTCCGTCTTCAATTCAAATGAAGGCAATACTGCCTTTCATTTGATAATTACAATAAATCACACATTTTTATGACCGGGATGATGAGCCTTAGTTAACTGCGTAGAATTCAAAAGATAGCTGTTGGGCTCTTTTCTAAGACAATTAACACATCCAGACTCCAGCCTCGTGAGGCGAAGCCCTGACCGACTTTTAGTAAATGTACAGCGTAAAGGCAGCCAAAAAAGAATCCAACGCCAAAGAATGCATATAATAAGGTGTAGAAGAGAATAGGCCCATTGATCAACCCATCAGATCGGTCAGACCTCTCTTCCACCGGTTGCACTTCAGCTTCATAACCTTAACAGCCTCCAGGAAGAGCATGTCACTCTCGAACTGACCCGTGCTCTCCACGTTGAAGATGAAGTGATCCCGCACCCGTCCCAGCTTGACCTTATCCTGGAACTCTTCGTGGCGCAGACACTCTCTGCTGACAGTATCATTGAACGCATCCTTAACGACAGCCTTCTGCTCGCCGGCATGGCCCTCGTATCCACTTCCAGGCTGCGCAGCCTCATCAGAAGTAACGGGTTCAAGGCCGATCACACCCTTGGGGAAGCACTTGGCAAACTTCTTCGCATCGTCACCGATGATGGGACGCTCGATCTTAATATCAGGCAAGAGACGGTATGAAGCGGTAGCCACAGGCGAGAACTTGGCGTGGTCAGCACCGATACCCTTCTGGCAGTGGAGTTCCATCTCGATCTTCTGGCCGGGGCGGAGCTTGGCGATCAGAATGTCCGGGTTGACAGGTGCGATAGCACCGTCGCCGACGAAGAACTGTTCCTGACGACCGACGGGCATGTACATGAGGTCCTTGGCGTAAACATGGGCGTTGGTGTACAGCTTGCGGGGGTCCTGCTCGTCCTTGTCTGCGTACTCGTTCTTGTAGCATTCCACGTCGAGGTGGAGCACAATGGTGTTGAAGTCGCAGGGGCCATCTTCCTCCTCACCTCCGTCTTCGGATGCCTTCTTGAACCAGTGCATCCAGTTGATTCCCTCGACAGAGCCCTTGAGGGGGATCAGGCCCAGTCGTTGTGCGAGCACTTCGTCTTGAATGACGGAGGTGTTGTTGTGAATGAAGCAGTCTTCAATGGCAATGGTAGGGATCTCGGCCATAAGGATACGACGGAAAGCGTTGGCGACGGCGGCGTCGAGTCCGACGAGCGAGAAGGAAGCCTCGAACCGTTCATTGCGGTGGAATTCGACTTGGAAATTCTGTTGGATTTAAATGGTCAGAATTGACTGAATCTAGCAGATTATATCCTTCTTGATAATGTTTCAGCACATACATTCTTGAATTCGTCGAGTGCCCACCCATGCGACTCTCCGGGCCAGTGGCCAGGAAAATCTGTGGAGGGGATATTGGTGACGGTTTCCGCATTGATGCCGATGATCTGGGACGATTAGTATTCTGAGCTATATGGAATCACTGTTGGAGACATACACGGCGGCGCTGCAGCTCCTCCTGCGAGGCAACAAGAGGCGCCATGGTGAGCAATTATAGAGGGTCTGGTGAAGGTTGATGGTAAAATCCGCGATCACCGATAAGAGAGATTTCTGGAAGCAATTTTCTAGTTTGCCTGAGGCAGCGAAATGGTCTTTATTCTGTGCATATCATAAAGTATTACATAATCTACGAATGCAAAGTTATGTGAGGAACGTACCACGCTAAGCCAAAGGAAGGCTAGCGTGGAGTCCTCACGCACGCAGTATAGTGGCCCCTTCAGGCCAACCAGCGCACGGCTGATGACCCGGCAGCTTTTCACGTGACGAGCCAAAATGCGACTCCCAACTTGAGACCTTCAGCGAGTTCCCTATCCGTAGCGAGCCATATCCACCCATTGAATGCGCCCGGATTGAGGATCATCTCCCCTCTTTTCCCTCTTGGACCTCCAATTCTCCATCCTCCATGGCCGCTTCTTTCGCTCGCCTTGCGGGCAATGCGCCCAAAAGGCTCTGCCTCCGCCCCTCCTCCCTCAACACATCCATTCCTCGTTCCCGCTCGATAGCTACCTCTGTTCCTCGCCGTCAAGCAGAGGCTACTAGCTACCAGGCCACACGACTTGTGCCGACGGACCCGACCTTCACCTCTATCGCCAACAAAGGTCTTCCCGAGGACGCCGATGCTGCTGACCTTGAATCCGAGGTCGAAGGGCTCGACCGCAAGATCCGTCATTACACTGTCAACTTCGGTCCTCAGCATCCCGCTGCTCACGGTGTGCTCCGGTTGATTCTTGAACTCAATGGCGAGGAGATCGTTCGCTCCGATCCCCACGTCGGTTTGCTTCACCGTGGTACCGAGAAGTTGATCGAGTACAAGACCTACATGCAGGCTCTGCCTTACTTTGACCGATTGGATTACGTCTCCATGATGACGAACGAGCAGTGCTTCTCCTTGGCTGTTGAGAAGCTGTTGAACGTCGAAATCCCTGACCGTGCCAAGTGGATCCGTACCTTGTTCGGCGAGATGACCCGAGTCCTGAACCACCTCATGTCCGTCCTGTCCCACGCAATGGACGTTGGTGCCCTGACTCCTTTCCTGTGGGGTTTCGAGGAGCGTGAGAAGCTCATGGTGAGTAATTCAGGGCTTCTAAAAGCCACTACGGCCAGGTCTTGTTTACTGACACATCCGGTGCTTTAGGAATTCTACGAGCGTGTCTCCGGTGCCCGTCTTCACGCTGCTTACGTTCGCCCCGGTGGTGTGTCACAGGATATCCCCATTGGTCTTTTGGACGACATCTACCAGTGGGCCACTCAATTCGGTGACCGCATTGACGAGACCGAGGAGCTGCTCACGGATAACCGTATCTGGAAGGCCAGAACCCAGGGTGTCGGTGTTGTCAACGCCACCGATGCTCTCAACATGAGTTTCACTGGTGTCATGCTCCGTGGCTCTGGTGTCCCCTACGATATCCGCAAGTCGCAGCCGTACGATGCCTATGACCAGGTTGAGTTCGACGTTCCCGTCGGTGTCAACGGTGACTGCTACGACCGTTACCTCTGCCGTATGGAGGAGTTCCGTCAGTCCCTCCGCATTATCCACCAGTGCCTGAACAAGATGCCCGCTGGTCCGGTCCGTGTTGAGGACTACAAGATCTCTCCTCCTCCCCGTGCCGCCATGAAGGAGAACATGGAGGCTCTCATTCACCACTTCCTTCTCTTCACCAAGGGTTACTCCGTGCCTCCCGGTGAGACCTACTCAGCCATCGAGGCCCCCAAGGGTGAGATGGGTGTCTTCCTGGTCAGTGATGGCAGTGAGCGGCCATACCGCTGCAAGATCCGTGCTCCTGGTTTCGCCCACTTGGGTGGCTTCGATCAGGTGTCTCGTGGTCACCTGCTCGCCGATGCTGTCGCAATTATCGGTAAGTCTTTGTTGTCTTATTTGATTCAATTCCCAACTTCTAACATTGAATCTCTTCTAGGTACTATGGATCTTGTGTTCGGTGAGGTTGACCGATAGATGGTATTGGTAACGCAATAATAAAAAAGAAAAACCAAACCCGAAGAAAACCTTCCCATGGCACCCTCTTAGATGGTTAGATTCGCCTGTGCTGGGGAAAAATCAGAAAAGAGGAACCACTTATTTTCCCTTATGTGATCTATAACCCCTGGAACTTTCGACGCTGGCTAGGGTGTACCAAATGTTCCATGTTTTCTTCCCATGGCGTTGTGCTATTATGTCTTGTCCTTCTCATTTGTGTCTGCTTTTTTTCTACCTCTACTGCTTCAAACAAGCCCTGTGTATAGTGAACATCTGATTCTTCTTCCATGAACTAACTATTTATTTTCCAACGTAGAGGGTATCATCCATGAATCTGACCAGCATTGATCTCAAGCCTGACAACACCAGGGGACCTGGTGTTGGTGCGCCCCAGAAGATGGCCATTTTTCACCAGATAACCAAATCTACAATTTATGGTCTTTTGTATGACTTACCAATACAGAGCTCGAACTAGCTAAAGTAATATAAAGTGTACGAATATTAGTATAAGTCTATCTTAATTTAATGGTAGTATAAATGCTTTGCATCTAATATTGAAGAAGAAGAATAATTTTAAAATGACACTATATAAAGGCTATATGGGGGGAATAACCAGGTACATTCTCTATTTTAGTATACTTAATATTCCTTGCTAAAGGTTGGATAAATAATATAGACATCCTTTATACTATATATATCTTCTTATATCTTCCCTAACTAGTTTGAGAGCTGAGAAAATGTATGTTATGTTTACGGGGTGTATAAGTACCTTTTGTATGGGCTAGTCATACAAAAGATACATAAATTGTAAATTTGGTTATCTGGTGAAAAATGGCCATCTTCTGGGGCGCACCAACAACCGTTCCGGTTGTTGGGCGCCTGGCACGGCTAGTACGAGATAACTTTATCTAAATATATGTGCTGAAATATCTACATACTAGACTGATTATTTACACGGGAGATATACTAAGGCCACCATTTTTGTCATCACATTCCGGCAGACAAAAGTCAAATATCCCGACCGCTTTCTGACCGCTTTCCGACCGCTTTCCGACGATCGGTTTTTGATCGGTTTTTGATCGATCCCGACCGCTTTCGCTTATTCCCGCTGCGTCCATTGTTTGCCACATTTGTCAAAGTGGCAGATATCGACCGCCCTGAGGGTATAAGTAAGTCCTCATTCCCAGAAATCTTCCTCTTCTTTTCTTTCTTCTTCAGCTCTCTTTGCCTATTGGCTTAGATCAAGTGTAGTATCTGTTCTTTTCAGTTTAATCTCTGAAAGTTTCCGTCCAGGAAACACTTTGATTATTCCTATTTTTGCAACCCGCGACTTGGCCCCTGTGCTTGCGCATGCCTTGTTGCACAGTGTCATTGGGCTTACACTGCACCCGATCGACGCGAACTCCTTTTTCATCAACTGTTCGGCTTGTCCGGGCGCTTGGAGAAGATGGCTGTTGTCTTATTATGTGAACAAATTTCATTTCTTCATTGTTTAATGACTCGTCTATGGGGCATGTTTGTTTTGGTGCAAGTTATGTAAAGAAGTTTCCCTGGCAACCTACAGGCTACGACCCCCCCTCCCCCAACTGCCGAGACACGATGCTGTGTCCATGGTAGGGCGCATTTGATAAACATGTCTCAATGTCTGATCACTTGATATTCTGTCTGAGCTGTAGACAAGACATTGATATCGCTAAGAACACTGCTCGATCTTTCTGATACAGTACGTCCCGAAACCGGTGCGACCACTACAGAGCTTCGATTGACTTTCCTGCCCCTTATTGCCAAGACACATTGGTCTATATTTGGAGTTCTTCAACAGCGCTACTGCGGCAGCAAAGTTGGGGACTAACCTCACCAGTTAACTAGAACGGATTCGTTTACAGACATTATTACGAACCATGTTGTATTTTGAGCCCTAGCAACATCCAGAGATACGAAATCCACAAATTCTTCGATATGTCAATGTCATTGTACTAATTTCTAATGCACTGATGAGGTGAGTCGTAAGCCTAAGAGATATCCCAAATGTGTCGATCCATCTTCTATGACATCCAGCTCCTCCATATCACGAAGGACCTGCTCGATAAATTTGCCAGCGCCGCTAAGTTTCATAATAAGTGTAATGGCGCGGTGGGCATCGAGAAGCCGGGGAGATGAGATGGTGGATCTACAGTGCGATGAGGACTTAGGGTAAGCGATCGTGTGACGGGAAACAAGGGATCACGTAAGAAAGGAATGTGTTGTGTTGAGTCAATCCTATACTAGTGTCGTGTGCCAGTGTGCCAGTGCGTTCGAAATAGATCTCGAGTTCGCCGAATAGCCGGTGGTGGTGATACATTAGAGTGAGGGCGTTCATAGGACCAGCGTGTTGGGAAAGGTCTTCAGAATATGGTCGCCGAAAGAAATTACAGATGTCATCGTGTCGTGTGGCACTGCAACATTTTGACATTTCTTTGAAAAAGCAACTTGGAGCAATTGACGGAGGATCGACAGATTGATTTTCCTACCAAACGCAAGGGTGGAGAATAAAGAAACCAAGAAGTAGATGTTCCTATCTCGAGAGCTTGACTGGCAGGCTTTGTACAAAGCCACCCAGGAGCTCTGAATGGACTGCGCTAGAATTTCCGAGAAAGAGGAACGCTCAAAATCAAGCGAAACCAAGGAAACATTCTTGAATTGCCTGATGGTTGCCACTAGGGTTGATGAATGATCAACGGTAGTAGGCCAATCTCTAATCAGAGCCGTGATGGCATAAACATCCCTGCCGCGGACACTTGTGATAGTTCATTCTGAAACCATGCAAAGGGATAAATGCAGCATGCCAGTGTAGGCTGTTCTCTAATCAAAGCACATAATATATCTAGACTAGATGAATAGTTTCGTTGCAAGTCACTTCTTTGCGGGCACCTACTTTCACCTACTTTCACGCTGTGCTTAACAAAGAAACGTGTACTCTATAAAGATTCACCTGCCCTTAAACTAGCGGCTAATAGATCTACCAATTTTCTTCAGATTCAATTCAGATTCAATTCAGATTCTCTTTAGATTTTATTTACTTTAGAAATCCCTATACCTATAGAAGGATCAATTTTATATTGTAGGTATTCAGACATCTTTAAGCATCTACAACATTAGTGGATCTAAATTACTGCTGACAATATGAACCAATGACAGAGTTATGTGTCGGTGGCATACTTAGTCGCCCATAATGAGGTCGAGACAATTTTCGAGGGTCACATCGCGTGCTTTGTTGATGTTCTCCCTGAAATTCTCGTAGGTGGTGGGCTTGGCATGAATACTGTATATATATATATATCTATGGCTTCGCTTTTGACAGCTCCCAACGCATCTTTGGTTTAAACAGTTAAATCCTTACTTACTTAGTCACTTGTGAGGTTTCTAGAGCTTTGGCTACAGAAAACCTCTATGTTATAAACAAGTGGTGATGTTTGCCATCTCCCGCCCCATTTCTAGATCCGAACACATAGGAGAACGCGGCTGATTGATAACGAGAAAAACAGCAGCATCCACAGGACTCTCACTTACTAGCCTAACAAAAACACTGACAACCTCCTCAATCCATATCATAGATAAAGACATTTACAGTATAAAGAGCATCACCTACTTCATCTATTCGCCCCAACATTATGGCCGGCTTTATGATATTTCCAAATCGGCTATATGCCACTGGTAAGACACAAATTTTCAACTATCTTAGAGATAAAGCGAAACCTATTTGAAATATTCAACATGAGCAAATCAATAGACGTCTCTAAGCCAATCACCTATCCCAAGTGGTTCGGGGGTTCCGCATCATATATGGCAGTCCTTGTCTCTCACCCTTTGGACCTGAGTGAGTGCAGATATTCCATTCGAACGAACATATTTTTGATTGGTCAAGCATAGTCAAGGTCAGAATGTAAATGGGAGGGCGTACTTGCACTTTATAACGGGGTAGGTCTAAAGAAGAATTGAAGCTATCAGCAAGGTTTATGAGACAGCGTTAGTCCACCTAACTATTCCATGTCTTTCATCAATCCCGAAATCAATACATACTCACTGATTCAGTAGTTACCTATGGCTCCGTCAGCATCGGCCTCTACGAGACACTAAAAAAACAAACCAAAACAGTACTCCCACCTCCCCATTATGGCCTCTTAGCAGGAATCTCTGCATTTATTGGTGCATTCCTCGGCAGCTCCTCAGATATAGGTAATATCCGCATGCAAAATGACGGTTCACTGCCTCTTCATCTTCGTCGCAATTACCGGCACATATTTGACGGCGTGGAGACTATGGCAACACTGATTCTTTTGGAGCAGCACAAGAGGTTATATAGGACTTTCAAAGAGAAGACAGAATTCAGAAAATCTCACTATAAGTCAGCCCTTTCACATTAGGTACTGTTAGGCTCGATGAATGGCTGAGTAATTGATCTCTCACACTTGCTACGAGAAGTACCGGTACAAAGGATTTGTGCAACTCGTCAAATTTAAGTTGGATGTGGGAAGTGTAATTCAGTGCACACACTTTCAAATTTTATTTTCATTCTTTCATGGCCATCCTGAGAATAAGAGTATATACAGCCCTAGCTAAAAAAGTATTATATAGCTGGGCATTGTCAGAGAAGCTCTCAGGTCTCACTGTGTTAAATGTTCCGTTCTAGTCTATGGATTTCCGAGCCTGGGGCTGCTATGGCGATTATCCAAGACCGTTGATCTAGGATACCTAGGTATGGACTTGTTTGCATTTCAAGAGACCTCTGTCGACCGGTCTCATATTTCCTCCTACAACTCAGCTCTTCTTTACCATCCTACCCACATTCACCACATTTTCCCACTTGGCCTAGCCGTCGACTCGGGCCCCCTACTATCCCTCCTTTCTTCCATGTAACATATTCACTTGCTTCTATCTTTACTGTATTTTCTTAATACCCCCTGGCCACCGCAGCAATTTGTGAATTCCTCTCGAGATCGTGGATCTGATTTGGTTGGTGAGGTTTGGTCTGGTTGATGAGGTACACACTCAAACACGCAGGGTGATGATTCTGAATATTAAACTCTCCAGCCAGAATCCCATCAAGACGCACGATAAGACATTGAGTCTCAAATACGCCTCTCCAGTTCAACATCAATGGAGAGCCCACAAGAACACCAGTCCGAACAACCCACTCCAACTCCTACGACACCTCCACTCTACACCATACCCACTGAGATACGTTTGAAAATCTTGGCCTACTGCGTTCCCCGGAAATGTGCTATCAAAGTTTCAAACAAGATGTTTCGGCCATACGGGGTCGAACCTGTGGTTTCAACGCGTGACCCGTCCCTCGAAGACAGATTCTCCAACACCACCCCTCTCTGGACTAACATTTTACTTGTTTCCAAACGAATGAGTGACGAGTGCTTGAACATCCTTTACGGCGAAAACTTGTTTGAACTTTACCTGGACAGGGGAGCTGAAGTTACGCTCATGAAAACATTCACCAAAGAGAATCTCCAGCGAATCCGACTCATTCTCGCCATCGCACCCAGCCCATATTACAGCGGGGAGTTGAACCCACCCGTCATTCCTTTCTGGGCCATGATGATCCCAAATCTGAAGGTATTTGGCTGGGTGACCCAGTCAGATAAGAGAGCTTTGCAGCACACGAGCATTTCTACGATGGAGCAAAGGTTTGAGGGCTGGATGGAGTGGACGGATGCCTACTTGGACTGCCTCGGCGAATTTCTGGTGCCCGGGGTGGAGTTCAAAATGAAATTTGACAATGAAGATGGTGAATACAGGAAAATTGGAAGGCTTACTTTCCGGCGAGGACCTTTCTTCACGAAGACAGGCGGAAACTGATGGGCTGGCGAGAGTCATGGTGAGGATCGAAGAGGCGTTCTACGACAATAAATGTTTAGATTAGGCTCGTCTTTCAAATACAATGTTTGAAATCTAATAAAAAATAAACAGATCTAGGTCGCTAAATCCAGTAGTATTTTGTGAAGCTCAGTTCATCACTTATAAGAATAATCGTCCGCTCGTACGGCCTTTGTGCTTGACTATGTAAGACTTCAGTAATCCCGAGGCTGAACCGGTATTAGCTGTAGGACACTTCAATGTGCTTCAGATGATCTTTTTAGATGTCATTTTAAGTGTATTCTAAAATAGTAAAAAGCAAAAACTGTGTAGATGGATTTTCTACATCCATGTAGGTGGATACAACCAGAAATTGGCCATAACATCCAAACGGAGAAGCTCTCCATCTTCATAGCACTACAAATTTTTCGATATATATATGATTCTTAGCACCGGAACATATCCAATGATTATCCAAACGTCTTTGGAGGGACTGCTTACACCTCGAGCCCTCTAGGGTTTGATTGTACTCACAGCTCTACAACAATAAAACTAGGAAAGCAGAAGAACAGTATACTTGTTTGTCAGAACCTCTCAATTTTCATTTGATCAATCTTCAGACTTTCCGTAGGTGACAGGACTATGTTTGCGAGCCTCTCTGTCACTCCCTCTGCCTCTCACACCTCTCTCCCACGTCTTCCTTCACCTCTCCTACCTTTATATTCTTTATCATCGACATCTACATTGGCTTTGTGTTTCTCTAGGACCAGCTGTGTGCTCTGGATACTCTGGATACTCATTGTATCTGGACAAGCAGCATGGTCCGCAGAGGATATGCTACCTGCAATTTGTGTGGTAGTAAAATTTACAGCTGTGCAACCACTCAAATTTCCGAGATAATATATCGTGATACACCGCAAGATCTGAATATTTTCTCACCGCATAATTCATGGATCTGCGGAAGACCAGCAGATCTGGATGACATACATTTCGATGAGATGTGGACATGGTCCTGCACTTTTCGAGCTGGTAAGTATTGTTTTAAACATCCTGATTAGACGATGTCTGTGTTGATGTTGATGTCAGTGTTTCTTAAACCTGGCCAAGAAGTCACATTCCATCTTTCTGGTGTTGGTGAGCTTCGACCGAACCATCAAATAAGCCTCCCACAGGATGAGAATGAAATGATTTTGTGGAATCACCGAAGCTATAGTCATCACACCTCTGCAATTCCAAAGTTTGTCTCAAGGCTAGAATACCCAAAAGCATTTCCTATACATGAACGATGCTGGCAGCTCATGACTCGCATTCTCGATGCAGACGTGATCAAAAGGAATATGGACAACTTTGTTCCCGCAATGTTTAACCCAAAATTTCTCACGCACTCAACGAGATGGGCTGATCCAATCCTTGTCTCCCCGAGATGGAAGCAGTGCTCGGGTGTACTTCCGCTTTGCCGCCAAGATTTCATCCAAATACTCAAAAATTTCGTTCCGTATATTCATTGAATACAAGCCGTATGACTCGTGGCTTTCTCGGCACAGACCCACTGGACAACTCCTACATCAAGAGTGTGATCGCAAAGTACACAGCCAAGTACACCAGTCAGAGGGAGAAGGGATGTGAGCCAATGCGGCAACCCTCAATACCCACACATACAATGTGCCGACGATCCCAGGCTACTATCAAAACTAGGAACGTGTTTCTCCCGACTGAGCTCATCTTGAACATCGCAGATCATTTGGATCATCACAAGGATATTCGAGCTCTGCTTTCCACGTTCCCACATTGGTATCCAATGATCCCGGACAGCTACTGGAGACGTCGATTCATTGACGATAACCACCTTGAGAGTAATAATTTCCCATCAGCGCATGGTCTGGATTGGCAGTATGTCTATCTTCATAGTGACCGGCTGCCACAACCTTCATTTGGGTGGCGGAATAGGCAGCATATCCTGAGTCAACTTGAGGGTGTAAAAGAACGATTCTTGCGGCGACTGAAGCAAAAGGGCATTCAACAATGAAGCGTATTTGACGGTGAAAGAGATTTTAAAAACTCAGACGTTTACTGGTCACAGGCACGTCTTTAGGGAACGAACGGGGTTGGGTTCTGCTTTATTCTTCCATTTCCTACTTTGATTAATTAGAATGAATTGAACGACTTATCGTGTGCTTTTTGCTGCGTTTTACTCCTTGAGAAAAACAAAACCCTAACTCATAGTTCATTCGATGCCTGAGGAAACAATGTGGCGTATGATGATGTAGTCTATAAACCTGCTTCAATTGTGGCGCAGTGCATGCAGGTTCCCATATTTCCTCCAACAAACTGTCCTGGTTCTTCGTACAACATACGTTGTACAGCTGTCAGTCTCTGATTCGGAGATTAAAGCGCCTGTTAAATTCTCAACGAGCTCTTTGTCTTCGCCTGAATCCCCAGCTCGACTCCCGCAGCCTGTGCACAGTGGCGTTTTGATCGCTGCACAGAGCACTCTGCCAATGACAATGGACCTTTATCGTATTTGGTATTTTTGGAAATGCAAATGAGCACACATTGAAGCAGAGTTATGTTGCATCTTCTGCTCGGAGGTACCGAATTATACATTCATCTAAAGCTTCCATCGACACCATATATATATCCAACTCCAACCTCTCAATAGTATACTGTTGGTAGATACATATATATCATTTATAACCATGTCAAGGTAGCCATAATCCTATTTAAAGAAATAGGTCGTAAAATAGAACCCAAACAAAGACATGCTGCATTCAAATGAAACAAATCGATGATCGAGAAGCTTTAAGAAGAGGTGGATCTGGCTTTGTTGCCTGGTGTCCAGGTGGCCAATGGGATCATTCTAAACTGCTTATGTAATTGCTATAATTGCAGCTGGGGACTTGGGACCTCCACTGGGTGAGATCGCGTCTCTGAGTGTCTCTCCTTCAGCAATTCAACCTCCATTCTTTTGTTTATCACATATTATGATATTTGGTCTGCTCTGAATATCAAACTTCTGATCATTATTCCAATTACTTCTGCTCCTACCCCCTCCTTCCCCAATTGCAGCCTACCAATTCCCGATCGCAAAATGGCCACCGACTACAGCAAGAAGACCAACGCCGAGCTGGTCGAGATACTCAAGACTCGCTCTCTCCCCCACACTGGAAAGAAGGCCGACATGGTCTCGCGCCTCCAGGAAGATGACGAGGCCAAGCCCTCCGACGCTTCTGCCCCAGCTCCTGCCGCAGCCAAGACCGACGCCCCCCGAGGACGTCATTGACTGGGACGACGAACCTGCAGAGACAATTATCGAGCCATCCACAGAAGCTGGCGAAGCTGCGATTGCCGCTGGTGGTCAGGGCGCAGTTTCCAACCCCGTTGCTGTCCCCAACCAGCAGCTCGACGAGAACCCCGCCACCACCGAGGACTTGAAGGTCGAGGCGACCGGTGCCGTTGCTGAACCCACCACTCAGCCCGAAGCCGAGACCGAACAGAAGCCCGCTGTCGATTACACACGAGGACTGCCCCAGACCGACCTGGAGGCAGAGCTTGCGAAGCGCAAGGCTCGCGCGCAGAAATTTGGCATTGTTGAGGACGACGATACAGCTTTGAAGGAGGCTACGAAGCAGCTGGAGCGCGCTAAGCGATTTGGTACTGGCGCTGAGGCTGAGACTACTCCCGCCGCGGGTGTAAGTCGCCTTGACCAGGCACTTCCTGATGAGCGCTCCCGCAAGAGACGTAATGAGGGTCGCAACGACAACCGCAACGACCAGGGTGGTCGTGGAGGCAAGAGACGTGATACTGGAGCTGGACGCAACCGCAACCGTCAGCGTGGGGATGGAAACCGCAACCGCGACCGTGGCGATGGGAACAAGACCAATGCTGGCGTGAAGAAGCCTAATGCCGGTGGGAACACTGCCCAGAAGAGTTGGAGTGAGAAGGATAATGCGGCCATGGAGGCTCGCAAGAAGCGGTTTGCAGCTGCGGCTTGAGTGTTTCCAATAGTTTGCTTTGTCTGGTCTTTAACGACTTCGGTTCCATCTCTTGTTTCATCATGGGCGTTTGTGTGTTGATATGCTACCGGACAATTTCAGGGTCAATCATTCCATTCTATTTGTTTTAATATATGTGGTCTCAATGAAAATGTACAAGTGTATGGGGTTTAATTTTGTATATCGGCAGTAGTATTGTCCATTATGTAGGCAATTCAGGTGTAAGAGAGAACCTGGGATCAACTTCTCTATTCCCCCTAGGGGCCATATTCAAGCACTGACCTACCCAGAGCAAACTCAATCTGAAGTTCTCTTGCGGCCCCCAGATATAATTCCCCGGTGACTGCGTGCGAAGTGAGCTGAAGCGTGCATTAGTCGCTTGTTCCTGCAGGAAGGGCGTCGACCAGTACGACCAGTCCCTAGAGGAGGATGGGCCAGATTGTGATTGTGGGACCTCAAACTCGTCCTCTACTATCTTTGAGAGCTCGGGAGTACTTCGCATGAAGTATGGAGTGCATACAGTATTACAATTTCAATATACAACATCCACTGGTCAATGCCATTCAAAACTCATTTCTCGTTCGTTGTTCCAATTGCCCAAATTTAACGCCCTCCCCACTTAGCTCGGTGACCTCCCCGCGAATCGCAGCCCCCAACTCGGGGATTTTTTTCGATGGTGGCTTCGAGCTAACTTTTGATTGTCGTCCAGGGCTTGTTCATTGCCCGATTATCCAGTGGGCCATCACAGCCCAGTCACTAGCGGGCTCCACAGTCTCGAGACTCCACGGGTTGGATGTTGAACACCCTACAGAGTAGTCGAAGGACGGAATGCTCTCTACGGACAGTCACTGGCTCTTTGAGTCATACAAGTCTAGACGTTAGACTCAACTTTAAAGCCCCTTTGCTTTCATCCTTGGATGTTTGAACCTTGGATCCCCGAAAGGTTCGGGACGGGCCTCTGTACCAAACTATGGACTATGGCCGTTAGGGAAATCTTGAGACATGAAATGTCTCGGTGATACGACAACATATTGTACCGGAAATTAATATGCGACTGCTTCGAGAAAAGATGAAGCATTTTAGAGTAAAAGACACCCTTGCGTCTATCCGCATATGCATTGTCCCTTGAAACAACGTTGGGAAATTCTCCGAATGTACGGGAAAGGCTGGAATTGCAAACCGTCAAAAAAAAAAATAAAAGAAGAAAAATGAAAATCAATATCGCGTCGATCGTTTTACCATTTGGGTTTGAGTCGTTCGGCGTCTCCGAATGCGTTGTGTAGAAGGCGAGGGAGACGCGATAACCAGACTGGTTGTCAATACGGGATTGTCTGCTACATTGTACATTGGTGTACATTGGTCCAATTATGCAGATACTCTCAGCTTGAATCTATCAGCTGATCTGCAGTGAGATCGAGTCACGATTTGTAGGATATATCTTTTTAAACGATTCAAGCCATGCATGACGAATTACGGACTGTACTGCCCTGTCACGTTGTGTTTTGCTCAATACCTCTTTTGCCGCCGTGAGCCCATCCCGTCTAAAACAATGTAGCCAACGACGAGTCCGTGCTAGGGGAGAACCCTCGAGTGGACCGGCTGTTACCTCCCCATGTGGGCTTCCGTGCGCACAATCCTTGTTGATCCGGCCACTGGGGATTCACTTTGGTTATTTGTAGAATTCCCTTTTGACTTTGCGATGGGGCTATCGTCGCTTCAGAAGCACCGCACAACTTTCGAGATATGCTGGTCCTTTTGACAGGCTCTAGGTCTTCGCAGTCTCGATTCCTTCCCGTCTGATCGCAGTAGTCACATTGAATTCTTGCCAATGAGATCCCTGGCTATGTTCTTATATGGTCAAGGCATTTTTCCCCCACATCCGAGGGGCAACACCGGTCAGCACATAAATCTCTAGCATCTCGGAAATTCTTCGATATCTTTGATCTTTTCGTTTTTGAACACAATTTATTTTTACATACTTCAGCCGGATTTTATCTCTGACGTGGCCCACGGAGAACACTGAAGTCGAACGCCACATTGCTCCAGACTGTGGCGAAGCTGCAGGTTTAAGGCTTCGCCGATCCACAGTGGACTTTTCTCGTTTATCTACTGACGTCTGTGAGTGTCTGCTTTTCTTTTCGTTTTTAACATTTTTAACATCCTTGCAATGTCTATTGACACTTAATTTTTAGTTGTGTGACTTTGAGATACCCTTCTTTTTTCTTTTTTTTGCGAATCCATCTACTTTTACTTAATTCTATAACCCCCACCGCCAAGCGCTAAGCGCCCATCAATATTGATATTTTTGTTTGACATGACGCAGACGCTGTGAGTTTACATGCTGAATATGATGATGTTGGACTGAAGAGCTGATTAGATCAGGTAGCTCTATACCCCCATAACGACGTGATGGTTACTATAACGAAGTACATGCACCCACCGTTTAATCATTTGTCCCCGGATTGGAGCCGGGAACTTCACTCATCCGTACGCCATGTCGTACAGTACTGGCCATCACATGCCACACGATGCTTCTTCAAACTCATCACGTATCAATACTGGTGCCTATGGCCGACCTACGCGATCTCAGATTGCGAGACCAGTCAATCACACTCTTAGGAGTAGAACCTCCTCATTCTCAGATGCCGAAGATACTGGCCCAGTATTAGCGCAGTCGGCTATCAAGAGATCTACCAGTCGCGGAAATCGCCTGTCTATGCTTCCGCGCCCCAGTATTGGTAGCACAGCCTCTCCTACTACGCCAGTGTCCGCTTCCTCTTGTCAAAGTTCTACCCAGACAATCCCTCCCTCGTTATCAAGCCCGGATATTAATAACCCCCCCGCTTTCCGTTGCTGGACAACATTTACCCCCACCGAAACGAGCACGGAATGTTCTTCGAAGGAGGGCACCGACAATAGGAAAACATGTGGAGCAATCGCACTCTGACAAGTTGAGCCTTGTTATTCCGCAAGAGTCTCATTCTCTCGTTATGAACAATGTCTCGGGACCCGGAAATTCGTCACCACCACTTTTAGGGCAATCGGCTTCCTCTTACAAGCCAAACCATAAGAATGAGAGCAATGTGACTGTTAATTCGGCGAAGTCTAGATTTAATGGACCAGTGGAACTGGCAAGTCTTCGAACGACAATTGATACGCAAAACGTGCCAGCACCTCCCGCTCCATTTCTTTTGGCAAGTAGCCCCTCGACAAGATACTCGGAATCTCCGAGTATTTGGAGTAGAGGGTCTACCCCAACATCATTGTCATCATACTCCCCCGGTATTACAAAGATTGGCCGTCTGAGACAACCGAGTCCGTCTCAAACAAGATTGCCTGTCTTTTCTCCTCCACCGGCACATGTAAGCCCTCAGCAAGAAAGGCCGGGGCTGAAGACTGAAAAGCGGGTACTTCCTACAAAGGCTCCTGTCTCCAGCTTAGTAGGGACCGACAAAGGCCAGAGAGCACCACCGTCTAAATCCCCCTCTACAGTACCTCGCGGCCCCCCTTTCAATCCGCCACGGAGAAAGTCGTCTGTCAACTTCAGCCCTCCAAAATCTCCCGAAATCGATGTTGAACAGGCTCGGAGGGAAGTCGAAGAAGCTGAGAGGCGTTTGTTTGACCCACAAAGGGCTATGGAATGTTCTCCCTCACGGAATACGGAGACACCTCAGACTCCACCACGCCCGAGCAGAGATGGAACGCATCGCTTAGATCTCGAGACATCGCCGATTGTCCAAAGCAACCTACGATATATTAGAACAACGGGCCACACGAGACGCGAGTCGATAGAAAAGATCATAGCAACCCAACAGTCACACCCAACTCCTAACAAGTCTGCCACTGCATCAATTGACTCCCTGCAATCAAGAGCAATCACCGAAGTCCCTCATCGAGATGGCGGATCCTCCATACTATCCAAAAAGACACCCCCGACATTGACCAAGGAGACTTCCCAAGAGAAGGCGGATCCAAAGCAAATACCAACAAAAAAACGGTTCGGTCTGTTCACAAAGAAGTCCAAACCGGACACCTCAGAGAATTCGACCGAGCAAGCTCGAGCCACTCGCAAAGGTCCAGCCGCAGGAACAGGCCATGAGGGCTACGGAAAATACGGACAGCGCGGCCGCAAAGCAAGCGGTAGTAGTAGCAGCGCTACGAGAACCAGATCAACCAGCACAACACGGAGTGCCGCTAGCAAAGGGAGTCAATCGAGTCGTCCTGAGTTGGATATTGATGATTTCCTAATGAGCCGTCTGGAGCCTGTTATTATCAATGGCGGTGGATTGGACGGTGCATCGTTGTCACGGACACAAAGCGAGCAGAGTTTCAGTAGCATAAGCGTTGCATCGACTTCGAACTTGCCGCAGCAAACTCTGCTATCATACTCGACTGGTCAGTCTACCGAATCCCTTGCAACTTCGACGGGGACATTTGGTGAGATTATTACGCCAAGTTATTCGAATTTCACCACACCGATGGGAAGCAAGAGTCCCGAGTATCAATCTAACGTACCTCATCGTCCAGATGCATCGAAGTCACGCATGCCCGTTTCAAGAGAGAAGAGACACGGCGTCTTTGCGAACCCCCAGGCTGCTGTCACAAACACGTCTCTTTCTAGCCACGAGCCAAGCGCTGCTGCCTCACACCAACCAAGGCCTGCCCAAAGGTCCCCCGAGAAGGTCAACAAGCCTGAGCAGGTTGAGAAGCAACAAGCCAAGAAAGGAAAGACATCCATGTGGAACTTCTTCCATAAGAACCGTGCCAACGAAGAGAAAAGCTCAATTCCTCCAACGACCTCATCCCAAACCGCGAAACTTCATGCAGCGATCTCCCCAGTTCTGAACACTCGGCCCGTGGCCCATTACGCCTTGGTGGATGCTGAATCGGATGAGCTCGATGAAATCATCAACAACATCGAAGACTCACCACCGACGGAGGAAGAAACAATTTTCCATCCCGTGGAAATCCCAAGAGGCTTGAGCATTAGAAAAAGAAAGCCATCAATTCTCTTGCCATCTCCGCCAAAGATACATGGTGAGTTTGAAAATGATGACCGGCCATCGCCGAGGACCGCCATGTTCAATCGCAACCTTATGGCCCCGGAGCTCGAGATATCACCTAAACAACGCCCGCGCTTGGCCTCTGTCGGTCGGATCCCACACGTAGTTTCGCGGCGCGATAGACACCATCAGCCCGCAATGCAGTCATTTTCGCGTCCTTTCAGTGTTGTCGAGTCACCTTCTCTCACTGTTCCAACGACGCAAAGCTACGAATCTCCACCTGTCGCTCATGGTCCATCGAACCTGGGGATTGGCCCAAGCGAATCTTCTAACTGGGGCGATGGGTTTAACCCAACATTTAGCGCATCCGAGGAGACCAGCGCTTTGGAGTTTCTTGCTGGGCCGTTCTCAACGTATGAGTTCCTTCAATTTCCACCAAAGAAAGGCTCAACCTCGTCAGATAGCTCTGGAGCTCTGGCTGCGGTTACAGCCGTGCCCCCGATTCCAGGCTCCCCGCCAACTGAGGATGAGGTGTGGAATGAGTACGATGATCTTATTGATCACGTTCTGTCGCCAAATGAACCGAAGCACGAAGAGGCGGAAAAGACCGAAGAAGAGGACAGGTTTGAACTTGCAACGATGGCGAGCAGGGCTCTTCAGGACGAGTTGAATAATGCAAATCAACCCCAGCCCGTACCTAGTGGCAATTCAGTTCGCTCGAGTGGAAGCTCTGTTCATCTTCGCCGTTCTCAAATTGTCTCTGCTTTGCAATCGTCTACCGCCCCTTCTTCTCAGCCGTCTTATAGTGATCTTGTCGCTGCATATAGCGACTCCAATGAGGAGAAGACACAGCAGACTACCGAACCTACCGAGGAGCCTTCTTCAACAGACCAGCATCGTGAACAGCAGCAGTCTACATTTCTCAACTCTCTCGCTGCTGTCCCTTCGCCTAGGCCAAAATTCCACCGCGAACACGAAGCCGCATCTTCGGAGCGTGAGTGGGACGCAGTGACACGGACTAACATGCGTTCCGCTTCGCTCATGACTAGCCGCTGGTTATCCTTCGGCCGAGTCCTTTTCAGCCCGGCTCATAACCATGTCAAGGCCGGAGGACAAGGACGAATTCTTGTGGTCGACGGACTGGGAAATGACGACTGGTCGTTCTATTGTTCCTTGACATATCCCGATGCCGAGGTCTACAGTTTGGGTGGACGTCCTGTATCCGCAACACCTCCCCACCCCGCTGCATGGCAGCCCCCTACCAACCACCACACTGTGTATCACGCAGGACTAGACAACCCCCTCCCCTTCCCAAAGGACTACTTCACAGTAGCCGTACTACGATTCCCCGCTGTCTGCTCCGAGACCGTGCAAGGGAACATCATCCAAGAGTGCAGACGTGTTCTCCGCACCGGAGGGTATCTAGAAATGAGCCTCCTCGACCGTGACATGGTGAACATGGGACCCCACACGCGCAAAGCCATCCGCCAACTCAAAGAAATGACCTGTCTCTCAGACTCGACGCTGAGCCTAAAACCAACCAGCGACAGTATCCAACGCGAACTTGGAACGCAAGGCTTCGACAGTCTCCGTCGCTGCATGGTTCGAATCCCCGTCGCGGGAATGGTCCTCCGATCCTCTGACTCCAGCTCATCGGCACACTCCATTTCAACGGCGAACCCTTCCACTGTATTCTCGCTACCTACTATATCCGTCACAAATGCGGGTGATAACCAAAACACGGGAACCGCTTCTAAATCCCCTTCGAATGATGCGAATATCTCTCTCGGCGATTTGCTCTCCGATCCTTCCCCATCTCCCGCAAACGATGAGTCAATCGCTAAGATCGTTGCCCGTGTCGGACGCTGGTGGTATTCGAAATGCTATGAAGATCCTGTTTTCTTGACTGGAAACACTGATCCGAGTATTTGGAATGACCGCAAGGTACTCCGCGAGTGTCAGAAGCGCGGCACTGGGTTCCGCATGTTCATTGCATACGCCCAGAAGCCTAGTGAGGTTCCCCGACGCACGGCAAGCGTGTAACCGAACGACAACGACGCCATGATACGTTTCATTTTTCATTTTTCGCTTTCTTTTCATTTTTTGTTTTCTGCTTTCTGTCTTCCTTTTCCTTTTTTATGATATCCATGATTGATTGACACTATACGGTGCATGGAAAAATACCCATATATATGCCTTTACGAAGTCTGCTTGCCTTTGAGCGTTTGGAATACATTGGCCTTGTGGCTTACGCTCAAGGCTTACATTTGCTATGCTTTTACTTGTTTTTGTTTTTGTTCGATATGGCGTGCATGATGCTATGACTGATATGTGCCATAGAGGAAGAGGTGTGGGATTTCCATTGTACAAGCAGGACTTAATATGGATAATCAATTACTTTAATCACTTGCATCTTCGACACTCCCACAGTGCGTTTGCTACATCCTTAACTAAGAGACCAAACATTTTCTCGTCCTGGTCTGCGGTCTGTTTGATTATGATGCTAGCATCACCCACACTTTAGATATAAATCCAGCTGAAATCGGCAATGATTGTCTATACCAATATGGTGCAACCAAGCCTCTTCCTTCTTGTACAGACCCAATCTGTGGATTAAAAATATGTAGCTTTAGTGTTTGGCATGCCTTGAGTGTTGATTTCAATCTCATAAATAAGCTTATACCCGAGTTAATCGAACCTTCAACGGGCCCTTTTCCCACATCAGGAAGTTTCTCTGTTTGATCCAATCACGGGATTCATCGGCAATCTCCATATCAAAGTTAAAGATAATCAACGCAAGGATTAAACGCATCTCGCTATATGCAAGACTAGAGAAACGTGGTTAGTACCGCTTGTTGCTTCCCATAGTAGTTAGGACCATTACTCACTTTCTTCCGAGGCAATTTCTCGGTCCAGTATGGAATGGTTGCAATACCTCTCGGCGATCACCTGCAAATGATAGATCACCTAGGAATCTCTCTGGATGGTATGTGTTGGGGTCCTTGAAATATTCTTCGCGTCGATAAAGTGCCCATTGGTGAATAGAAACAAAAGTCTTCAGAATACCGTTAGTACGCATCGAGATGCAGTATGAATATCGAATGAGACTCACGTTTGCTGGAACATATTCGCCTATGACCTTGGCACCACCCTCAGGACACACGCGGGGCAGACCATTTGCAATGGGTGGGTACATGCGCATTGCCTCGTCGAGACATGCAAGCATATAGGGCAATTTGCTAACAGAGATCAGGTCGATCTCTTCCTGGCTTTGAAACACAGTGCGCACTTCCTCTTTCAACTTCTGATGGGGAATCGGATTTGTAAGGAGGAGGTATGTGACTCCACTCAATAATGAGGCTGTTGTCTCAGAGCCACCAATGATGAGAATTTCAGCATTTGCAATGAGTTCATCAATACTCAGGTTCTGACAAAGGTCGATTGTTATTCTTAACGAAGATAGGTAGGTATATATTTGAAAACTCACCAGTTCCTCCCTCTTCCTCAGAAGCCCTTCAATCAAGTCTGGTCGACCTTCTTCCTTTTCCATCCGACGCATCATCTTCTGCTCGGTGAATCTTCTATGTTTCTCACGGGCCTCTGTCATTGATGCAGGCACCATTGACAACAGCACCCGTTTCACGGATGGATAGAACGAGAGAGCTTGCAAGATAATTCCAAACCGACCGGCATCGAAAATCCCCTTGATCCATCCGTCAAGGTTTGATCCCTGAAGACAGCCAAATGGCTCACCAAATGCCAGGTCTCCAATGATATCAAAAGTAGCATAGTTATACCAATCGGAAAGAATCACTGGAGTACCAGACTCGCAAAGCTCATGTAACCGCTCAAGCAATATATCAACATAACCACGAATCATCGGCTCCTGGTCTCGCATTGCCTTTTCAGAGAAACCGTGGGCCATCTGTCGACGGAGTCGTCCATGTTGCGCTCTGCTTTCATTGACTACATGACCCGCTTGGTCTTCCATCGGACGGTAAAACCAATCTGCCTTTGGGAATTCAGGTTTCCCTTTCTGGTGGCCCATGATGTCTTGCCAGGCATCCGGGTGGGAAAAGGCCAGCTCGTCCGGCGCAATACGGACAATGTCGCCATATCGCTTATGCATTTCCAACATGTCAAAGGGAAGAGTTCCCCGAATAGATCGGTAGACATATGCCAGTCGTGATATTTTGTGTGCCAATGGCCCTGGGAACCGGCTCAAGGGGTGGAAGTACACATTGTAGATTACTGTGTAGGCAAGATATAATGTCGCCTGAACACGTTAGAAGAGAAGTCACAAAAGGCATCGGATGATATACCGTAAAGAGTCCCGTTACTAGCGCATATTTTACGCTGAAAATAATTCCCATTCTGTCTCGATATTCGCTCTCAATAGATTATTTCAGAGAGGCAGTCCGATGGGAACATCTGGAATCTTATATGTGCGGGTCTTGGTCAGGACCGAGGTTGGTTGATTAACATAGCTACTAGCATCCCTGTGGCAGTGTTAACTTCATGAAGATTTGATTAGTTCAAGATCGTAGGCGAATGGAGTCGAAGAAAGTGCGCGGTCTGTTCTGATCCGAACCCGAATCCGAATCCGAAGTCGATCCATCAAACGTCCACCAATGACTGCCGCGGGGGTACGAATACGAACAACCCTGGGAATCTCATTTTATATGCCATCATCTGCCGAGATCCCCTTGTCACTGATAGGTAGACGGACATGGAGAAGCCCGTGGGATTTATGCATTCTATGAATACTGCAGATTTGAACTCGATTCAAAAAGCCCGTCGGCGCACATCAAAACAGCCATGTGTGTGGATTTGTCGTCTCAATGCCGTCAACATGGACGCAGTTCAGACATATCTAGTAGACGCTTTCCTGACACATGCTGCTAATGTTGTGGCTGCTTGTACCGTTCTGCGAAGCTTGCTTGGGGCTCTTGTTCCTCTTTGTGGATTGCAAATGTACGAAAAACTTGGCCTTGGGTGGGGGAATAGTTTGCTAGCATTCCTTGCTTTGGCAATGGCCCCTATACCGATTTTGTTCTAAACTTGGGGAGAGAGAGGCTGCGGACAAAGTGGACTATTGACTTGTAACCTAAAGGGGTTCAAATCTTGTAAATATCTAGGTTAATATGATATACAGCAAATACAAGGGTCCTCAAGGTGATCAAAGGAGAACGTAATCATTTGGCTTCTCTTACTATATAGCACTCAGAACTATCTGTCTTGCGTAACTCGCATGCCTCATTTCAGATCATGGTATCTCAAAGTAAATGTAACCACCCACGAAGGTCATAAATTGTACAGGAATAGAAAAAGAAGAGAAAAAGAAAAAGCCTTTACTCAAGAAGAGCAATCATCAAACGTTGGTAATCACTAGATGTCTCGCCGCGCACGCGATCAATCAAGTTCTTCCCGTACTTGTGCTGGTACGCGCGCTTGACCATCCCCTTGTGGTTGCGGTCCCAGTGGGCTCGAACAACACGAACAACAAGGCGCTCGTCCTTGGTGCCCATACCACTCATGGATTCCTCGAGTAGGATAGCATCACGCATGGCAGGGTCCGTAGCCGAGCGGAGCATCAAGAGCAGCGCATCTTCCATATGACCCGAGAATTCCTTCTCGATATACTTCTCAAGTGGAATATGATAGCGTGACTGGAAAGCCTGGCTAATAGCGCGGAGCTCGGCATTGGACGCCTTGGCGAAGATTGAGCACACCTCTGTGACGTTCTTCCCTTGCAGGGAGCGAACATCCGCCTCGATGGTTTGCGGGTTGATAGGGACAGACTCTTCAGTGCGAGCAGCGCGAAGGACAATGGCGAACAGAGTGGACGTCTTGAAGGAGAGGTCGCCTTCGACATCTTTAGAAAGCGAACGCCTATATCTCATTTCATAGGCGGTCCGGATAGCATTCATATCGGCATTGGAGCGGCCGAGAAGGATCTCGTTAAGTAGCCACTCCTTCGTGCCAGCGCCATCGATTGCCGAGTGCACGCTCTCGACATCATGCATAAGTGGTCCGTCCAGCACGGCAAGTAGGCCATCGCGGAATTCCCCTCCGGTCTCGGACTTGACATCCTTGAACAGATCGCGGCCGAGGTGCTTAGAATATGTGTCGCGGACAGCGGCCATCTGGAGAGGGTCGAGTTGCGAGAGGACTGCAATCAGGGCCTTCTCGTCCGTGCCGAAGCCCTTCATTGCTTTGCGGAGCGCATCTGCTTGGGGCCGGTAGTCGCCTGGTGCTACTTGACCAGGGATGTAACCGGGTGAAGGCTGTGACGGAATACCCTGGGGCGGGAAGCCGCCGGCTTGTGGTGCGCCGTATCCAACGGGTGGTTGGCCTGGAGGTGGGTATCCCGCGGGCGGTTGGCCTGGAGGGGCATAACCATGCTGCTGTTGGCCATATGGAGGCTGCCCGGGCGGAGCATGGTATCCATGGGGTTGAGGAGGTGGCGCGCCGTACTGACCTCCCTGCGGAGGAGGGGCACCGTAGTGGCCTTGCTGGGGTGGAGGATAATGACCCTGTTGAGGCGGGGGGGTAGTGGCCTTGCTGAGGGGGGTATTGGCCCTGTGGGGGAGGGGCACCGTAAGGCTGCTGATAGCCCTGGGGCGGAGGTCCTGAAGGAGGGCCTCCGTATTGTTGGGGTGCGTATCCTCCGTACGGAGGTTCTATTGACTGGGTTAGCTCATGCCAAGCCTGTAAATGTTTTTGGAATGTCACTCACGGTTAGGTTGGTAAGACATGTTGTGGAGACTGCGACTTGGATGTATGCAAGTAAGAAAGGTCCGGGCTGAGGACTGAGGGGCTGTTTATATGTTCCCCGGGCTGCCCGGCTGAGAGTGTGGCGCAGTCAGGTGGGGGGCGTTCACAGCTTTACAGCCTTGAGACAGCCTTGAGAGTTCTCTCCTGTTTGTTGACGTCTGCCAATTTACAAGTGGACCATATACTTTCGTATTCCTGGTTCGATTGTTTCTAATTAAAGAAAAAAGGGTTGTTGCCTTATTGCAAGGTTCGATTGACTTGCCAATGGTTCTTCCTATCTACGCTGGTGTATACAAAATGGATATCGCCAACTTCACTTCGATCAACCCCTTGTCAACCCCTTGATTCGTTTCAATTCCAAAGTCATTTCACACACACCCGTGCCCAGACGGCCCCGGGGATCTTCAAAAAGCCATGACTCATCGCAATCACAACTTTAACCATTTCCCTCCACCGCCAACAACGGTCCCTTTCTTGACCTCGCCATCGCTGAAGGGCATATCAAACCCGCCCGTGATGGCAACCCCGTTCTTGAGCTTAAGTTCAATCTGGTCCTTTTCTATGGGTAACTTTTCGAATTCTTCAGATTCTTTGTGTAACTGGTCGGCTGAATCATAGGTGATGTCGGCATTGGGAATGGAGAAAGACTGCCCGAAACCAGTCAAGTTGCCGACGAAAATATATTGAGAGCCTTCAACTTCAAATTGACCAAGGACTCGTCCTTTGTCACTTGTCAAGGTTCCAGTTCCTTGCGGCATCTATTTCATGAGTTGATCAGTATGCGGCTAATGCCACCCATGGGAACACGGAAGGGTGCCAAGTGCTCACTATGGGGGAAGATCTTGCCAGATATTCGCTAGTATTGGGATTGACACTACAGAGAAAAGGTGGCCATCAATCATTTAAAGAGGATGGGCAAGGAAGAGCGGTCAGTTTTCAGAGTTCAAGGGGGTGCATCCGATGTCATACATGCAGGTCAAGTGGAGAGCTGTGTTTGCCTCCATGTTATGGCTGGTGGTTCATCTTATCGAGGTGCTTACAACACAAAACATAGTACATCCATAGTACATATATGCACCTATAGTTACATACCAGATTTTCCCTGAGGGGTGGGGTTTTCCTATTTAATCTGCCGCCACTTTTATGAGAGTGCTCAGGCTTACCTGGTCAGGCTCACTGAGTAGATGTCAGCATGGACTCAGATTAGTGACCATACTCACATACCTAGGTATGCAAAGCAGTGAAATGAATATTAAAAATATTTAATATGGGAAAATACGATATGGTGATGTGAAGCTAGGAGAAGAGAGAGAGAGCAATTGTATTGGTTGCTACTAACTAAGAGAGAAGGGGAAAAGAAGAAGAGGGAGAGGAGACTGCAGTCCTGTCTCATAGGGCCATGTGCACCCTGCCACACCAGGTGACACCACCATAACATATGGCACTAAGATCTGATAGATAATAATCTGACCCACCGTTCTAGCGGCGTTAAAATAGTACTTACAACAACGAGCAAGGGTCTTGAGAGTCGACTTGTGCAAGTAAGCGCCCTCCGACGGCCAGAATCTCTTTGCCTCGACCTTCTCGGTAACATCGGCGAGTTGCAGCTTCTTTGCCTGCAGGTACTTATTATCGTTGAGGAACTGTAAGACCTGTCCATCTAAGTCCTGTTCAATAATTAGCGACATCCCTATATGATTACTGTATGAGGGGGGTTTACCTTCACCCTGGTGTGAATTCCGTTGCCGTGATCATACACCATGTCCTTGCCCTTAGACTCATCTAGGACCACACATCGCCATGTTGTCGGGGCAGTCATCTTTCCAGGGATCGGGACCACGGCAATAACCCCTTTATCGAGAAGGACTTCAACAGGGCTATAGAGAAAGAGCTATAGAGAGAATGAGAGCTCGTTAGCAAAGTCGATATCAAGTGGTAGGAATATATTTACCATTTCGAGGATCTGAGAGAACCACCTAAACTAGCAGCCAAGAGATCTGCCAATTTTCTTCCTAATTGAATTTAGCTATTGTCTTCGCCCTGACGCATATGACGGTATTCTTCGATCATTCCAGACAACTCTATGCCGAAATCGACAGTTCGAAGGACCAAGGGCACAGCACGATGGTCTTCCACGTCAAATCTGGATGGAGGCATGGGGATTTGAAGAAACCACCACCAGCCAATGTGGTGGAACCGGTCATGTTTCTGAGTCGTTTGCTATCGACAGCCGAGCAGAAGTACTGGCCAACCGAGTTGGAAGTGGCATGCTTGGTCTGGGTGCTGCAGAAGATTAGACATCTTCTCTTAGCGGTACCGGCTGACAAACCTACCGTTGTGTATACGGACCACGCTGCTACAGTTAAAATCGCCGTTAATACAAACCTACGTTCTGCGGAACATATATAGCGATGATTTTGAATTCTTCCTTCAACTACCCTCTCTACAATACAATATAATTCAGATTCACTTCAGTTCACTTCACTTCACTTCAGACTCACTTCAGACTTAATTTACTTTAGAAGACCATATACCTATCTTAGAAGGCATTAATTATTCAGACATCTTTAAGCATCTACAACATTAGTGGATCTAAATTACTGGCAATATAAACCCATGAGAGAGTTATGTGTGAGTTACCTACCGCTCTTCCGCCGGATTTATAGTTCTGGCCGAAAACATCTAGTAGCTTCGTTCGACGTCCATCCTGATTCATCGAGATCATCACCGTTTAACAAGTATTCACCTATCGGAGCCAAGGATGCAGTTGTCGACATCAGGTCAGCCGCCAAGCGAGGCCCAGTCGTGATCCGGAGACTTTGGCAACGGTCGCCACTTTCTCGTATATGCTGGAAGATATCCAAAGCGATGATCCTTTCGTTCGGTCCCGTGCGGTCCAAAGCCTTGCTTCGTTGTCACCGTTGATGCAAGACCTCGCGCAGTCCAAGAAAACCGTCTATTATACTGCTGGGAAATTCAAATCCCTTCAAGACGCGTGTGCCATTCTGGAGGTAACGCATAAGACGCATGAACACATTTGGGATCGGCAAGACATCGACGATGTTCACTCAGTTACCCTCTCCCCTGATGTGGACAGTGTGATCCAGCGACTTCATCACTCTGAATATCACAATCGACAACTCGGAATCCTCCGTACGCGTCGTCGTCGAGTTGATTATCCTTGACCGGCTCCATAACCTTTCTGATCGCGGGGCGCTCGAGCATCTACAGCTCTATCCGGAGATAGACGTTGATCTTCTAGTCGGTAAGAAGCATATCACTAGCCATGCCGACTGGCTACTTTGCCACGATGATCCTCGATATAGCATTGACTCGAAGTTGGTTGCCATAGAGGCTAAGCGGAGCTACGAATTTTCTAATGCCGATTGCCAACTAGCTACGTATCTTACAGCTATACAGGCGAGTCGGGCCAAAATTTCAAAAGTCCATGCTATTGCGTTCGGGATCATGACAGACGCCAATAGATTTCGGTTTTGGTTTGTAGACTCTGAACGGCGGCTTTTCTCTTCTCCTACGTTTGACTGGCGTGTCCAGAAAGCTAAGATTATCACATGGATCGACAAAATGCTCGCCGAGGCGGTTGAGGCTTCACGAAATGTCTCTCCAAGCAACTGGGAGAAGGATTTCCGACAGCGTCAGTTGTTGAGTTTTGAACCAGACGGTTCCCCTTCGACCGAGGGAGTCCCCTTCGATATTATTGCTCCAGACTCGAGCCACATCGTCGGGACTGCATGGTACCGAGGCCGAAGGGTCGTCGTCGTCGAATAAGATGAATCGAGTGGAGATGACGAAGAGGGCAGAGAGAATAGCGCTGTTGCTGCTTAACGTTGCTCGGAACCATGCAGCGTTTCTACTTCAAGTATCCCATTACGAGTTAAGTATTTTGACCGTCGCTTGCTGTCAAAAAAAAAAAAAAAGAAAAGGGACAGAGAGAATACTGTTGGGTGCCTGAGGCCCAGGACCATGTAGATAGTTTTCCTCTCTCTCCTTCTCTTCTCTCTCTCCTTGTTCAACCCAATTACTACGAATCTATCTGCTTGGTTTCTTCATCAATACTCCATCAATAGATTCCACATTACGCCCTCTAAACTACCTAGAAACTAGCTGCTTTGAATTCATGAAGGCCATTCTCCGAGTTTGTCGATTTTCATCTAGTGGATCTGTTAGATTTATTTGTCTCTGTAGTTAACTCTTCTTAAACAATCAACCTCACATTGCACCATACACTTCGGCGTCCACAACGTAGACCTCTTCTAACAGGTTATGAACCCTTGGATGCTCTATTCATCTATCCTCATCATCGTCATCCTCCATCGACATGGGTCTGAGGCTTGGGTCCATTTATGGGCTAGTGAGAGGCCTGCCTTCGGGGCTGGAAAATGAGCTCCTGAACGTTGTTTTACTTCGTGGTGAGGACGTACTGTATCTAGTTCTATATATGATTACTTCAAGCTAGCCTAATTTATTCTAGGCCATGGATAGCCTACACCTTTTTAATTCTAAAGATCGTGAGGTCCAGACTAAGAACATCTACTCTCTCCCCTACCAAAACTGATAAAGCTAACCGTATTCGGCTAGCGCACAGCTCCTTCGCATCTGAGATGCCAAACTGCGCCTCCCCAAAATCTGCATAGGCCCCAAGATTCCTTGTCAATGGTGCAATTTATATTAAATTCCTCTCGGGTCCACTATAGATTTACAGTTCCTGCTAGTGATTGATATGGCCACATTCCCTCCAGGCCGCCGTTCGCACCGGAAATCGCGATCCGGGTGCTTACAATGCAAGAAGCGTAAAGTCAAGGTGAGAGATACATCAATGTTTCTGTCGAGCAATAGCTTATAATTCTGTATCAGTGTGATGAAAGTCAACCACATTGCCGGAACTGTGAGAAGCACGGGGTGATTTGTTCCTTTGCCAGTCCCTCCTCAAACGTGCTCTCCGCACCACAGGCTGATTTAGCAGTCTCATCTGTGTCACTATCCGGCCCAGAAAGTACTGGATCTGGAGGATTTCATGTCCCAGCACAAATTCCACAAGCCTTACCAAGTCTGTCCTCATTAGGACCATTCCCTTCCACATTGGCTATCTTTGACCTGGAATTGTTGCACCACTGGACAACGTCAACCTGCTACACACTATCGCGAAGCCCCGCTGTGCAGACCATCTGGTGCCAGGAAGCACCCCGCATTGGCTTTTCAACACCGCCAGTCTTACACACCTTGCTAGCATTTTCCGCGCTACATCTAGCTCGCTCTGATGAATCTCGACGCGCAAGCTGCCTTGCTTACGCACAAATGCACCACAACACCGCCGTGAGAGAGATGGTCCCACTCGTCTCGACTATCGCGCGACAAAACGGAGCAGCCCTTTTCATTTTCTCCTCTCTAACATGCATGTTCTCCTGTGCCAAGCCCTCCGAAGAAGGCGATTTCCTGGTCCTCTTTGAACGAGGCAATTTATCGGAGTGGGCGCGTCTTTTCCGTGGGACAAAAACTATTATCAGTACCGGAGGTGAGGACCTTCGGACCGGGAGACTGGCACCGATCTTCACGAATGGAACTCATCTAGCTGCTGCCCATCGCGGGCCACAGGCCCTTGAGCAAGGCAAGCCTCATATTTGGGAATTGCAGCAAATGATTTGGAGGGAGTGCGCGGCTGATCCATCACTTCGGGCTATCTACCAAGAGGCATTAGATGAACTAGCCCGGACATTGGGTCTAGCTATAAGGCCTGGCACCATACGGAGACTCGAGACCGCGGATGTCTTCCGGTGGCTGCTTGATATCTCAGATGAATATTTAAGCCTTTTGTGTCAGGAAGCGCCAATTGCACTCATTATCTTTGCTCATTGGTGCGCATCTATTCGTCAGATCGAGTGGATGTGGTGGATGGAAGGTCTCAGCTCGCGTCTTATGACACAACTATACTCTGTGTTAGATCCGAAGTATCAAGATTGGCTTATGTGGCCACAGGAGATTATTAATGGGAGCTATGAACACTAAATTAAAATCGGAATTATAATTAGAAAGTTTTAATACCACAAGGGCTGTAGAAAATGGACTCATTTCAAGTATATACCAATAAACATGCCAAGGTCGCCGATACTTTCTAGGGACATCGAATTTGCTATGTTTACCACTAGGACTTGGCCTGTCTTCTACGAGATTGTTACTACATCATTACCCAGTGTGTTCATGGTTGAGATCAGCTCAAATGGAGCGAGGAATGACTGCGAATGATCAAAACCTAGACGCGCCTTTTGATGGGAGAACCTTACCAAAGTACATATGCAGGATAATGCGTGGAAGCAGATCTGCGAAGTCTATTGGTCAGAGGCCTTGAGCAGAGTTGTAATGTTTCTCAGTTATGGACCAGGGATATGCTTATGTACCAAGGTGTGGATGATTTGGAGCTAGTGTACAGCTGCTGGGGACTTGGTCGGCTCTGGCTGTTGCACAGGTTGTGACAGGCCTCTTTGATAGGGCAGATCATCATCGCTAGCTAGAGTTTGCTCGTCATTAAGCTTGGGGTCGCGCACAGCAAAGGCAAACACCATGATCGGCACGCATAGACAGATACCTGTGATGGTGATAAGGTGCTGGATGTACTGATAGGAGCGAACGATCGCCATGCGTTCAGGGGTACCCATGGGCCATTCGGCGATCGCCGTAAACGGGTCCTTGTATGTGGAGGTGGCCAGGGTGGAATTAATACCGGCGAGTTCTTCATGGAGCGAGGATGGTAGAAGCTGGGTCCATATTGCTCCGGAGATTGTATTTCCAATAGCAGAGCCGACATTATATGAAGCCAGGAACGTGCCTGTCATAACGGCGAGGTGTTCATGTTTAATGTGAGCTTGCATTGACGCCTGAGCTGGCCATGAAAATAGTGCGCTGCCAAAACCGAGGAGCACTTGGCCTGCAATGACGCCGACCTTGCTGTTGCTGGTAAGGGACCCGCGGTATCGGATCAGGAGGCCGAAGCCGACTATGTAAATCATGGTCCCGCCGATGATAAACATCTTGAGCTTCCGGACTCGGAAGACGACCAAGCCGAGGAGGGGCCCGACTACAACCTGGACGAAGGAAAAGAGAGAGGAGATACGGGTCGCGGCGGTGACATCAAAGTCGAACCCTACGACAAGGATCGTGTAAAGGTAATTGGCCTGCAGGTGGTACCCAATATTTCGGGATATGGCAATCCCCAACGGAGCCCAGACGGCCCGATCTTTCATAAGAGTCATGGGAATCAAGGGACGAGGAGCCCTTAGTTCCCAGTAGATAAAGACCGGAACACAAAAGCCGCTAACAACGAGAGGTGCAATAATATGGGCGCTCTTCCATTTGGACTGGTCGCCCCCGGCAATGGTTAGTGGCGCAAGAAGAAGGGCCAAGATAGCGACGAGGAGGATAATGCCGATGATATCGAGCATCCAAAAAAGTTCGACTATAAACCTTTTTGGGCCGAGAGCCTGGAGGAGGGTGCTGGATTTCTCCACGGTGCCCTGCTTTTTGAGCCGCCGGGTGACGGTCCAGAGGCTAATTATGAGAGGGGATGCAGCAGCAGGATAAATGATACACCACATCCCAATACCCCAATGCCAGTCGGTAACTGAAAGGACGGCATTGGCGATATTGCCGCTAACCCAGGTGGTGATAAGAGCCGGCGCGATGGGAGTGTAGCTAAAGAAAAGGCGCGAGCGGGTCGAAGTGATATCGGAAACAATGATTGAGTTCAGAGCCTTAATCATACTTTGGCCGACCTGGAAAATGACGCTACCACCGGCATAGGTGGACACGTTCTTCGCGACGGCCTCAACGACAGTACCGAGCACGTAGAGAAAGACGGAAAAGACAACTAGCTCGACTCGACCGAAGATATCAGCGATCTTGGCCGCAGTCGGCTGGGAAGCAGCAGCAACAACGGAGAGGATAACGTTGATGGTAGATAAGAGGGAATGATCGCCGAAGGAGGAAGTGGCATATGGTTCGTATGTGCCCCGTAGAATGTTGTCGAGGCCATAAGCAAAACCAATAACGAAGATGCTCGTGAAGATGGCAGTCCGTTCCACGATTGTAAGGGAAGAGTACAGGGCCTTCATGCGAGCTGCACCGGGCAACTTGATGTCGCCGACAGAAGGAGACGAGACTTCCTTATTTTGTCTTTCGGGGCATGACGTGGGAACTGCATTGGGATCCGACATGACAGAATAGTATATACCAGACTGACCTAGATGATTGTTTGCATGCGTAGTTAGAGGAGAATAACGAATATTTTATAGATTCTGGCGAGTTGAATTCGGCCGTGTGTAGTGGGGTTTCGATGGCCGAGATTTAGTCGAAGACTTGGCATAAATGAAGGTAGTATCATGATTCATGCATGTCTAGCTAGTTAAATAAATGATCATATACTTCCCAACGTTCACGGTTGATAAATATCAAGTTGTGAAGTATGTCAATTGTCTGGTTATTCTCCTCTGCCTAGCCATCAGTCAGCCCTATCTCATTGGAGGGGAGTAAACGGTCAACCTCAAGAGGCGAGCCAACCACACAAGCAGGCCGACCACGTCTCCCCACGTACCCTAAGCGAAATATTCACAAGGCAAAACAGCATGACATACCAGTATTGATACTATTTTTCTCGTTGAAAAAACTTCAAGATAGTGGATAGACAGGGCGCGGGAAAACCCGCCACTCGGCCATGTTCGCCGCTCGGCCGTGGTCTTTCAAGTTTCCACTATTGTATTGCTAGCAGCATCCACCTCAGC